AAAGAAAGAAAGAAAGAAAGAAAGAAAGAAAGAAAGAAAGAAAGAAAGAAAGAAAGAAAGAAAGAAAGAAAGAAAGAAAGAAAGAAAGAAAAGTATACATAAACACAAGCATCACATAATTCCTGCAAATACTAAGAGGCTTAGTAACAGGTTCAAAGTGTCTTTGTAATCCTTTAGCTTTCAGCTTTATTTCATGTTGATTCGTCTTTTTTTCTTAATTAAATGAAGCAAAGAGGGACGCCGAAACAGCCCCAAACATTCAATAAACACAGAAAGAAATGCACAATAACACATTGCAGGTTAAAAGCACACAGAGCCAAAGAAAACAGCAGGATCGCTCACTTTGACAGATGATAATTCATCTGCAAATCCAGTTGGATTCTCTTCTTTTTTTGTTCTGTTTCTCTAAAAGCCACAAAAGTAAACAAACAGACCAAATTCCTTCTAACTCTAATCAGCTGAATAAGAGGATCTGGCCCAACGGATGGACCACCTTTGTCAGAAACAACAAATTAGTGCCATTAAAAGGGAGAAGTAATTGCTTTGTTAATTGTTTAATCAGCTTAGCAAATTATTAAATATTTGCCAAAGCTTGTTGTGGCAGCGACAGTCTGATGGCCCACACTCAAATCATATTAGCCCCCCGAATTATCTCCCCAGTGGATTAAAGACAGACATGAAGAGCCTTAACGCACAGCTGTACCACAGCGGCCAGATGTCACGCCCGTCATTTGACAGCTATTAGCATTAAAACCACAGCAGCTCACTGATTCTGAGGAAATCCAGCAACCTGAACAGACAATTAATTCTGTATCAGAAATTTCTGCAAGTTGCAATAAGTTTCATTTAAGATTTTTATAATGATTTAAATTCAAAACCTACATGAATCATCAACTTTAAAACCTTCCTTTTGAATCCATAAACACAATCGGCTCTACTAATGTTCCTTTTTTCATGCTAAGCGATGCTTTCTGACGATGAAGGAGCTGGTAGAACGTTTGGATTTTACTCAACTAAGCTGACAAGTTTCAGGAAAATATGTTTAAAGCCCTGAGGGGAAAGTTGCATGTCCTAAAAAAAAATCCCCTCCGGCGGGGTTTAAAGCTTCCATGGATTATAGATTGTTTTCTCACTGCAAAATAGCATCTGAATTCCTAAGTCAGAACTACAACTCTTAAAACAGATTCAGACAAACGGAAAATATAGAAGAAATAGATAAATGAATGAAAATACAGTTTAAATAAAAGATTTAAGCCCAAGCAGGAACTTTCTGGACGTATTCAGTAGTTTTAAGTCTTGCAAAAGGGCTTTTTTCTGGGTACTAAAAGCAACTGAATTAAACAGGAGGATGTTTAGCCACCATGGGTCAATTTGTAAGCATCAGATGAATGTTTCTTATCCACTTTGCAAACTTACTATGTATTGAACATTCCTGTTTACTTACAAATTTCTACTGTAGGAAAATATGGTTTCATGACTCCAATAGATTAAATACAATGTAAAATAAACTCATTTGGTATGCCAGCGGCACATGGGATTAAATTATTAGTTTACAAGATCCACTTGAAAGGAATAAGGGATTAAATTTTGACTTAAAAGAAAAAAATGGGGGAAAATTAATCTGGAGCAGAAACATGCAACAATCATTGTTATGGTTATTAACATGTATATAGAAACTCTTTGGGATTAACTTTTATATAAAAATAAAAGTATATAACAGCGTAAACACTACAAATATATTAACAAAATGTAAAAAAAAACAAAACAAAAAAAATAGAATAGACAGTAAGGAGCTGTGAATGGTTACCTATATGGATCAGATCTTGTCAGATAGACGGTTTTGCTTTTATATACCTATTATTTTGCTCTGCACATCTGCATGGTGCAACATTTAAGGAAGTATTCACACCCCTGGCAGATTAAGATTAGCAATTATCATCTTTTAAATTAAAACCACTGTGTCTAGAAATATCAAATGATAATAAGAATATATATTAAATGACAAGATTGCAGAAAAACATTACTTTTTCTTTATATTTACTTTACAGTTGATCCAAAAAATGTCTTACATGGCATTATAGCACCCATATCATTCCTTCTTTTCCATTATTACCTTCTTCTGTTCAGCATTTCCACTTCCTTTCAGCACCATTTCTAACCCTAAACTGATCTTCATAGCAGTTTGGTCTCTGTACTTAAATACACCCGTATTCCCTCAGATGAATTAAATCTGAAGCGTATCTCTTCCAACCCCTCCTTCCCATATTTGCTTTGACTGTCACAGCATGGGGTCTTATCGCAGGGCCAAAAGGGAGAAGTTGCCTTGGATTTATGATTAAGGGAAAGGAACAGAAGAGGAAGAGCGAGATCAGAGCGATGCATTGAAGTTGCCTGTAATAAGCATTAAAGTATTACATGATATTAACCCTGTTAGACTATTAATGTGTGTAGGGTTTGAGGGAAAGCCTAATTATGATTGAGAGGAGGAGGGAGGTGAATTAGAGAAATACAGTAGACACACACATACACAGACTTACGTCGGGTCGCAGTAATCTCCTTATGGCATCAACCAGGCAGGCTCTGTACTGGTCGAGAAACAAACTGAAAGGGAGATGGAGGCTCAGGTTAGAATGAGTTCTGCAGATGGCAGGGCGGATAAAGCTGCAGGCCATTTATTTTGTTTTGTTTACAAATAAATTCACCAAGAGGAGAAAAACAATTTGCATGAGTAAGTTTCTCTTGGTCTGTTTTTGTTGATTTTTCCTGAGCAGCCCCCTCAGCCTGGTGTCGAGGCGCTGAAAGGAATAAGGAAACTATAAAGAAAACAAATCCAACATAAACCCATCATATCCTCTGCTGCAAAAAAAACACACACACAAAAAAACATGTGCACAAAGAGAGAGGCACAGCTTAATGACAGGAGCCCAGTAGGCACTTAAAGGTTAAACGTTAGCCTAATTAAAACAGTAGGAAAAAATTGGACAGTTATGAGGGTATAGAAAAGTTTTTAAAAAGTTTCAAAATAAAAACTAAAATAAAAATCAAATTTAAGAAGGCAAATCAATAAAACTAATTCTGAATCAAAACCTAGAATACAAAAATAGAACAGATCGAACAAAAAAGTAAAAACCCACATCACTAAATAAGAACTGACACATGGTTACCATAATGTGCATGCAGGTTTTTTCAAAAGTCAGTGTCATTGAGCTGCTATGTGATTAATAAACGTTTCGCTGCCCTTCAGCGGAAAAACAAAAAGCACACAAAGTACCTATAATTCCTTTAACCTCTTTATTCCAGGTATTTAAACCCAAGGACGTTTAGTGGATTTATTAAGAATCTAAGAAACATCTGATCTTTGTGGCTTTTCAGAAAAGTTGCACATTAATACAAAATACAGTTATTGATATACATATCAAAAGCAAATATTAAATAATTCCACTCAATCAAAGTGTGACAAAAATGTTAAGACATCAAATCTTCAATGGCTGGAACAAACCATTATTCCTGAGGTAACTTCAGGAAATTCCAGTCTTTTTTGTGTTACAGATTTTATTTAAACATGGTGCTCAACATCACTTTAACACTCAGCATCACACAAAGCTGAATACCTTTTTTTAAACTCAAAGTAAGAATCATATTTGTTTTCATATTACAGACGACAGGTATAAAAGTCTGCTTTCATTATTAATAATCTTATTCTCTTAACGGTTTGAATTTTTGTCACCTTCATGGGCAAATATAAAAAAAAAACAGAGGCTGTGAAAAAATGCACATGCTTTTATGTAAAAAAATAAATTTCTAACTAAAACAAAAACATCTTTATTATATATTAAAAGAGGCTGGACTTTCCTCCTTTAACAAAAAGATCAAGAACCAAAACAGAGCTAAAAAAGATTTGGGATGTAAACAAAAACATAACAGAGATCCCCAAATCACAATCATTCTTAACAGAATACCATCTGCCATCTACATACGCCGACATATTAAAGCTGTTATGTCACTAAAGTCAGTGTGTGCATGTGTGTATAGCTCTTATCGCAGATCAGAGGGGAGTAATTTGACTAAAATGCAACAATACAGAGCAGATTTGACATAATCCTGCACATCCGTCCACCTGGATAGCAGCGGGGAAATCTGTACTCTGCCCCTCCCATTAAGGTCTGCATCTTTCCTCATGAAATCCTCTGATCCAACCCAGGCTTGGAAGGTGCTCATACCAATGTTTCTCTGCTCTACCTAAGTATACACATGATTGTCATTTCCGGGTGCTTTAATCAGTCAAACATGTACCTGTATGTTATGCAGCTAAACAGATTCATTCATGCTGTGATCCATATTAGAGCAAAGACAAAAAAAAGAGCAGGATGTCAGATTAACGTGTAAAGTTTATTATCTTTTAAAGGCAGACAGAGGCATGAAGTTTATTTGACTTGAAAGGTGAGAGGGTTTCCATTTGGTTTATTTGGCCACAGATATCAATTCACAGGAAAAGTGAGAGGCAAGGAAAACAAGGAAGTGAGCTCGTTGGGTGGAGGTAACAGCTGAGAAACACCCAAACACACAAACATACAGGCCAAGGAAAGGACAGAGTGTCATTCAGGGGGCAACGGTTTACCAGAAGAATGAAAGAGCTGCTTTCACGACAAACAAACGGCGATATTGGGATGAGAAATACAATGACTGCAGGCACAGAGATGGTTTCCCTTTATGATCAAGATTATTCCATCTTGTAAAATAATATTTAACTGTCTGTGACACAAAGTTTGAATGTCAGGGTCATGCTCCCAAATTAAGTGGTCTTCCCCTCTGAGGGGGGTCACAGGTCACCCCGATGAACCCAGACAGTCAGGGCTCCATTGTCTCGCCATAACCCCTCCCATTTAGAGCGGCCCACTGAACTCCCGTCCGACCTGCCTGGAGGTCAAAGGTTAAAGCTGGTGTGTGAGACCGTGTCTGAGTATTGTTTCTATATTTGTCATCTTACTTATATGTCGACATATTTTCAAGATGTAGGGGTGAGAATGTGGAAATGAATGAAGTCATCTGTAAATGTTTGTTTCCCAGGATGTTAAGAATGCTCAATCTGGGACAGATAGTTAGAGATATTTCTGCATGAAGAACTTGAACACCAGTGCATTATATTAGTAAAAATGTTTTATGCGCAATTGTCCTGTTTTTGACAGCAAACCAGCAAAAGGAGCAAAGACAGAAAGGGGAGCAGTGCAGTTAATGCCTGTGCTATGCAGTAGCATCAGAATGTGATGCATATAAAATACTTGTTATGCCATATTTTTAAACAACAACAGAGTGTCTTCAGTAAAGCCCAGCTGCACTGTGCAAGTTTCGGGGCGATTTTCTAGTCATGTGAGAATTTTCAGATTCGGCCGACTTTCAGCCTGATCATGCGCTGTGAGTCGTGTAGTGTACTGGGGTTTACGAGCGGCGATAAGCCTCTCACGACCACCTCCCGATCAGGAATCATGAACATGTTTGATTTTCTCCTGACCCTCGTGGGCAAATCGCTCAGGGCGCATGCGCAGAAAAGGATTCTTCTTTTTCTTCCTCTCAGATGTAAACACAGCAGCATGGCAGGGATGCAATGAGTGAAATGCAGTTCTGCCTGTAAAATTGACAGACCGTAGTAGCCACGTTTGCTCAGCCATGTCTTTTTTTCAAATACGTCGTCGCCTTTTCTTTATAGGACTTTCAGCACAAAATTGCACAAATTGACAATGCAGCGCGGTTCACTATAGTGAGCTTCATATTCCCCTTCTATTTGTTTTGGCTTCGGGATAGAGAGCTACAGAGCAGCTCTCTATCCCGAAGCCAAAACGTGCTTTTTAGTCGTACAGTCTGAGCAGGTAGATCGCATCAGAGCATCAGGCCGAACATAAATCGTAAGCTGTGTGCTCACCTATAGCTTAGCAACAATGTTTGGTGAAATTAAGACTTTTAGCAGCCTTCATCCAAGTGCCTAAACACGCCTTCAGAAATATAGGTTTTTAAAAACTAAGCATTTTAAAAAACTTTGCATTATTAAATGTTCTGCATGCTGGTGCAGTTTGGTGCTCTGTTGCCTTAAAGCAAGAAGAACCGGGGTAAAATTCCCAGCAAGGGGTCCCTCTGCATCGAGTTTGCACGTTCTTCTCGGTCAAATGTCAAAAGACATGGCTGGCATCTCCAAATTCCCCTCAGTGTGAACGTGTGTATGCATGGTTGCATGTGTTGCCCTGTGATGGACTGCTGACCTGTCCATGGTGAACCTGCCTTTCACCTAGAGACTTCTGGAGATAGGTCCCCCAGGATCTTGATGGGCAAGTGGAAAAAGATGGCGTTCTAGGTTTAGCATGGAACGTTCCCGACACAGAGTTAGGAGCATTTTATACTCTGCAGAGGTTTTCTCCACTGTACCCAGTATTCTGTTACATAAAAACCACACGGCCTTTGTATCCAGAGGCTAAAAACAAACCTGTTTACAAATTTTTTCCTTGTTTATTCATGTCATCCGAGATGGACAGTAATTTCTCTCGAAGTGTTGTGATATTATTTATGGGTGAAATTATAAGACAGCAATAGATATTTATATTTGAGAATCCTTCCCAGTTGTAGCCGTCATTTTGTTCGCCATGACTTTCTGCAAAGAACTCTGAGTAGTCATAAATTTTCTGAAATCCGGATGAGTGAAATCTGTTCGAACGGATGTGGATGCTAAAATGATGTTATTTAACCATTGGTGAAGGGCTGGCCTTCATGGATGCATCAAGCATAAACCAACCTTTAGTCTGTGTGCTAAGAATAGCAACCCTTTGCCCCCTTAACAAGTATACCAGCATACAATAATTCAAAACAGGACATAACACAGTATGTCTCTGTTGTTCTCTTTATCCCTAAGGTGATTTTTCTGAAAAAGAAAGATTGCTTAGAAATAATAATTTCTCTCCAATGATCCCGTTTTTTAAATAAAACATGATTGAGAGGTAGGCAAAGGACATTTCTCACATACTGATCCAACTTCTGTTGACTGAAAAGGTGAGCAGAGGTACAGCATGTTCTTTTTGGACAGTTATAATCCACAGCTTGTATTGTGTGAATATAGAAGGATAAACAAAACACAAAAGATGTTATTTTGTACCATAAGACATTTGATTTGTTTGTTCTTTATACTTTTTCCCTTTATTTGACAACCAATTGCATTATGTTGGGTTATCAGTGCTAAATGCTCAGCCCATTAGTGCTTCTTGAGTCCATCCTCAAGAGCTAAATTAAATTGCTGCATTCCTTCATCGGCATGTCACTCAGCTCTCAAGGTCTGTTAGAAAGCTATTACTTTGTACCAAACAAAGACACATACAAAAACTCAAACATGAGGTCAATTAAGAGGTCAATTCAGCCTCTTTGATCAGATATGTATACCTTCTGTAAAAATTCAGTTGACAAATCACACAGAGTTTTGTATGCCAGTAATGCTTCCGTGGTTATTCCCAACTCAGTCAGCTTATTCTTATGTAAAACAATGAAAAGGCAATAATTTGTCACAAAAAAAAACTAATATTTGGTACACACACTACCAGATTTTCTATGATGCAGACACATCAACAAAGCTTTATCTCAATGCCCACACACAAGCAGATTTTGGAGAAAGCTGACATTCCTAACATCCCAGCCAAAGATTCCTTGCCATCCACATGTCCAATGCAGGAATCCTGCTCTCTCCAGGTCTCTCTCTGTCTGCCAGAGAGACACAACCATAAATGTGAGGAGAGAGACAATGCTCCAACATTCTCGTGCCCACCGACTGTGAACAGATTATTATGCAGTCTGTATTGTATCCCTATGCACACTGAAATACCAGGCAAACGTCTTTTTAATTTAAACATAGAATGCTTCATCTAATATAGACACATTCACCTAAACGACCAAACTCTGACAGCCTTCAGGCTTGTGCAAACGAAACGTGAAACATGGTGAATTAAAAAGAGCCACTGTTGACAAAGTTTCAGTATTCTATTCATATCTATTCAAATCTACATATAAAGCACAGCTTAAATTTTATCCTCAAAATTCAATGTAACTTTTTAAGAACACCTAAACAAAGAGATAAAGAAAATAGTAAGAAATGGCCTCAGCGCTGCCAGCTAAACCAAACTATCCCTCTACCCTCCTCCGTTCTCAGCAGTAGATCCACTGTAACTGGTGGGAGCTGTAATTAATTGGAGTGGAATTCGTCGCTGATGACCTTTTCGAAGGTGATCATCGCAATGACTCAAGCGTTAATTCGGCAGCCATCACTCTTCAGGTGCTGGCACTGCAATCACACAGTCGTTCACATGCATTTAGATGCAGGAAAGATTGCAGCACCACACAGAACAACAACTTCCAGCTCTTACGCACGCATGACTTCAGTGTGGAGTTCTGCTGTGATAAATGGGAAAAGAACCTGTAATATCAAAGCCTCACATTCAATTTACTGTGGTGTCAGAGATTCTGCTTCTGTCTGTCACATAATGCATCAGTCCGCTGTAAAATATCCTCTTTTAGCTGCTTGCAGTCCCTCTCTCTATGGGTGTTGTACCTGACTATTACCTGTAATGACCATGACATTAAAATAATGATAATGCCATTTGCTAATGCAGCACTTAGCACACATTGCACACACTTATGCAGAGAGATGCACACCCTTACGCAACCTGAATTTCTTCATTGTTTCTTCAGTTGGTAAATCCGCATCCATCTAAGAGTTTTAATACAGCTGCCCACATCAGGAATGACTTCAACGATATTGCTGGGACCATCCTGGGTCTGAAAGAAGACAAAATGCTTATGAACACTGCTACACTGTCAATAAAGACAAGATAGATAATCTCTTCAGTGAGTTCTGGGACTGCCCTCAGGGTCTCATCTCTGCAGGATGTGCCAGGGGGACCTTTAAAGGGAGTTACTCAGGAGGCATCATCATCAGATTGCTGAATCCCTCAAAGTTCTCCTTCTGATGTACAGAAGAAGCAGCTCCACTCCAATTTTGACTGAGATGACCGTCCTATTCACCCTGGTTGTAACCAGGATCTCCACTCCAAAAAAATTATTGTTTCATTACTCCTAATCTATTAAACAGGGCAAGAGAAAGCCTGGAACACTCTTAAGCACAGTTGAACATGCAATTTTATATGCTTCAACGGATACAAGTAATTCTGGCAACCTGTATGCCTAGATAACCCCACAAAAGTCCTTAGGGGACAATCCTTTGGCTTTCTAAGATTCACAAACACCCTGCATGGTCTAAGCAAACAAACTGGGCAAACAACCTTCTTATGAATTCAATGAAGCTAAAGATCAAATCCAGGGTTCAAAGCTGTGTTCAGTACTTAATACAAGACTCCTTAAATCAAACTTTCCTATAGAGGCTGAGAAGTGTGATAGTGTCTCTCTTTCCATAAAAATTCTGACCATGACTCTGGTCTGAAACTCTGATGGTCAATTTGCCATAAAGTTCTTTAGTATTTCACAATTAATCTAATGCACTTATAATATCTCCCCTCCCACTCCAGTCATCAGACAATATCGTCCTCTTGTCTCTTCAAAGATGGAACAAACTAATGCAGGAGGTGTAGGTTCAAGATCTCCAAAATATGGTTCTCTTTGACACTCACTCTGATCAATGTGTGGCATTCCTAAGACTCCATTGCTATCAAAACAGACTAACTTCCAGGTACTGAAATTTTTCACAGTTCATCCCCTCTCTTTATCCATTTTGATCCAAGAAAATCCAATGATACAATAATATAACCTTTTTCTCTGTTTGGCAAAAAGGAGCAATGCGAGCCCTGAGATTCTAATCGCACAGAAATCCAATAAAATACAGTGAATTAACCTTAAAAATGGCAGAACTACAGTTTTTAGTATTTATTTTACAATAAGAGACAATTAAATGTTAGTTATATAGGTTTGTTTAAAAAAAAATTAACGTAAAGGTTAGTGTTTATGGGTAAAGAAAATCCAAGAACTATAATTAGAAAATTGCAAGGCGTGGATGCAAAACACAGGTATGGATGGTTAAGGACCCATCAGAATCCCCTATCGACCATTAAACCCCCCCAGGCGACCTCCATGGCCCATCCAGTGGGAAGTAACTGAGCCACCTTGTGCTTTGTTTCTTTTTCAAAGCAAAAGGTGGCTCTTTTCTAATTCTTTTTTAAAACTACACTATATTAATATCAGTGCTCCCACCCACCAGTTAGAATTGAGGAAGCCTATTGGATGAGAAGCGAAACATCATCTAGAAAACTTCACATCAAGTTGCCTAAACTGACCTTTTTAAACTTGACCATGACCTGGATGACTGAGAATCTTCACCGATAGGTCTACATTGTCAAATTGACCTCGAAGTCATTTTTTGAATTGGAATAGATTTGTTTTTTTTTTGCTAAATACAAAATCGCCAAGTTTTTTATTAATCAAGAACACCGCTGTTACAAAAAAGAAATTGAACCTGATATCACAATGCAAAGGTATTCATATAGCACACAAAAAAACAGATGTTGAGCAAAGTGCTTCATTTCAGTCAATCAAAAAAGTTAAACAGTTCAAATAGGAATAAGAACAAATCAATGATTCTATAATATAATAAATTATTTTTTCAATAAATCCTCCTCTAAATTCAATTTCTTTGGGAATGTTTGTTTTGAATAATGCAATCATTAAGGAATACATTTCAGTAAAGAAGCAAGGATTTGTTTCTGGATGCTTACAACATCTCCATTTTACTATCTGATAGGCTAATTGTTGTGGTTATGTTGCTCCATCTCTCCATTTCCATCTCAGTTTCCACTCCTCCCTGGACTCTTCCTTTATCTTACCGAGTCTCCTTTCTTGTCAAGGCACAATTATTTGCAATTTGCCTAAGTCATCCATTTACTGGGACACTAAGCATGAAAACGAGGCAATTTGGTGTAAAATGGATGCATGGGGGCATCGGAGCATGTGCATACGTCTGTGTGTGGCTGGATCAGTGAAAGGTCCAGGGACAGGTGGGGGTTTGGGGGTGGGGGCACGATGCAAGGTCTGTCATACCAAAGTGAGACTGAAAATCAGAAGCGGACACATGCAGAGATAGATCTGTGAGCGCGTGGTTGAGCGTAAACCTACCAGTCTGCACACATGATGGTATCAAAGTGACCTTCCAGCTCTGAAATGTCCACCTCAGAGTCCCATCTAACCACCCTGGAACACACACATGAAGCGGAGACAAAAGTTCAGTATTTGGACAAGTGGTGTAACAAAGACAACCAGCCCTGATAAAACCCAGCATGTAGAAAAAAGCTCTTTGTCTTCTCTCCCTCCATCTTCACTGCTCTTTTCCTCTTCAGCTCTGAGCCTCTTGCCGTCTGACACCTCGCTCTCTGTGACCCCCACTGTTTTTCTGCCTCAGTAGAGACTTAGAGAAAGCATCGGAGAGGAAGACATGTCGTCTTAGGGATAAAGCAATGGAGCTTCTGACATGACACTTGACATTTATACCTGGTGAACACACGCATACAGAGAAAAGCCCACCTTCTTACAAGGTACTTTTCAAGCCCTACTTCTATTTCTTATTTTTTTCTGTTTTTTTCTGACATTTCCAAAAAAAACAAGCACTGAGGCAAAAAAAGAAAAAAAGAAAGAAAGCCAAAGTAGCTGGAAATATAAATGTTTAATATTAATGAGCATCATTTTAATACATTTTCTTCATCCCACTCCCTTTCTTTTTTTTTATTCCTTATATTATGGCCCGTAGGTTTAAATTGATGAAGTGGCATTCCCTTTTGTTTTCCAATGTATGCAACTGCCAGAAAATAATAATAAAACATTTTAAAAAATAATGATTACAGTATCCACAGAACAAACAATACATCATGAAATAGGTGCATGGTTTTGGTTTTCATTTGATAAATTCACTGAGTGAAGGACATAATCCAGTTTAATTACACGTAGACTTGTTTTTAAGTTGTTGTTTTTTTTTACTCCTCTACTTGTGATTATCTATAAACTCTAAATTTGGCAGGGGTATAAATGCATGACTTGTTTTTAACTTCCATAACCTGATGACCATATGAGGGAAGGTGCATGACTCTATATTCTGGTCATGCTCATGCAGACATGAGAGGGAGCTGTAAATCTACCTGTAAATTGGGTTAAAGTCTGACTAATCTGCTAATTGAACCCCCAGCTGCTTTCTTGCTGTTTCATTGCAATCTTAAATGTATTCCACTTGTTATGTTTGATTTCTGCAACCTCACACATACAGGTTGTAGGATGAGCTCAGCCTGAACATATCCAACAATCAGATTCAGAACCAAATTTTTACAAAAAAAAAAAATATAAACATTCCTGTTCTGTAATAAGATAACTTTTATATCAAAATTGATGAAATTGAAAGTAGGAAATTCCACTTTCTGCTGCAGAAATCCGCCTTTAAACAGTGTTCCTGTTTTCTCCTGTCGTGTGAGCTGAGCTTTCCTCTTCCCCTCTTTTTTTTTCCTCGCCACTTTGCCTTTCTCTTTTTCACACTGTCAGACAGATTGGGGGATTATTAATTAGGCATTTTTAACACTCAGTAAACAAAACATTAGGCCCTGCTAGAAATACAATCTCGATTCTCAGCTGGAGGCCCCAACACACACGCTCAAATATATGCATGAGTGTGCAAACGACATCGCGCGACATGCCCCTCCCTCTCCATCCCCTCGTACAATCGCATCATGCCCTTCGCCCTCTCTTGCAGCGCGGAGATGACAGCAGGCATAATCTGAAAAGAAAACAATCAAAGTAATGTAGCCTAATTATACGTTTACTTTTTCACTCCATCTACCACTCATGTAAATACGCTCAGGAGAGAGGAGCGGAGAGATGCAGAGGGAGAAGAGGCAGGGGAGCAAAACAGTCAGTCATTGGAAAATGCTTTTTTGAGACAGGGGCGACAATTAGGTTCATTTTAGCCTGTCCTTGCATATAAGAAGTGTGTGCATGTTTTCTGGACCATTGATTCTCGTCAAAAAGGGTCATTTTTCTTTGATGATCCCACGCACATGCTTAGACTTTAAAGCTGAATAATTAGCTTATAGCAAGTCAAATCTGACTGTTTAAAACAGGAGAGATATCAGTTCAAGATAAATATCTAAATAAACTCTATTTTCCACTCTATGAGTTGTTCAGATACAATTTAAAACGACGCAGACCAATTCATTCAAACCACTGCAGACATATGAAAATCAGATTCATTTATTTTAAACCGACTCCACCGTTTATGGAGTCAGCCAACGATTGTAGTAAACGCTTTTTTGGAGCGTGTTCAGAGACTAAAAAAGTTAAACTAAAATATTTTGGCTTTTAGCTTTTAAATATTAGAACATCTATTTTAACACAGATGCTGAACATATCACTATAGCAGTATACATTTTTATATATATCATTGATTAGACAAACACTAAGTAGAGTCTTATTACAAACACACATGAATTTTGGGGTTTGGGGTTTTCACAAAAGAAAAGCTATAGAGTTGGATGTTTTGTTTACGCAGCTCCATCATTTACTACACTTATATCTGATAGTCTGTGTGTGAATATTTCTATGGGCTTTAATTATCATGACTATGAAATTTTTTTCTTCATTCCTTTTCAAACTCCTCTAAGATTGGATGAAAAGATACTTCAAAAGATTCTCAATTCGGAACTTTTGCTCTGTGTCGAGTTTTTATTTCACTGTTTGTTTAAAACACGAAAGTGAGCATTTTCTATAGAAAACAAGATTTTCTCAAAGGTCCCGGAGTGTAACAGTGTGAAAACGTCTTGGTTTCTGATGCTGTGTGGACAGGATAAACAGAAAGTTGCTGTATACAGCAGCCCTGGCAGAGGCGCTGTATAACATAGTCGTTGGCGCCCATTTGTATGTACGTGCATGATGAAAGAATTAATCTCAAAGCGGCAGTAGGATAGCAATTGGTCACCTCTGGTTTATAGTGTTGGTTTTCTTCCGAAACCAACCTGAAAACTGGATTAATGGACTGCAAACTAATGGTTATTCTTGCATCAGAGCTCCTGGTTTATGCAACTCCTGATTTTCTTGATCTCTTTCCTGCTGGATGGGGGCTGGATGGGGGCTGGATGAATATCCTGGCAGTTCTGGGATAGTTTGTTAAATAATAATTTGCGTATGAGCTACATGAAATGTTCTTGGTTCCTCAATGGTTCCTCCCTAAACTGTCTGCTGTGTGTTTCTTGTTTTCAAAAGACTGCTTGTTCGTTCATGTTAACTAAACACATGCATTTTGACCGATAGTTGTATCCTATTTACTGAGGTGAGAACATGAAGGCAGTCATTGCACTGTTTGAAAGGGCCTGGAAGAAAATGCAAACTCTTTATGAGGCGACTTTGTTTGCTTTATCTTCCACTTAACATTTGCTCTGCAAATTGTGTTGGTTATGTAGAAGAAAAGCAAAAAGCTATAGGTAGCCCATAGATATAAAAAGTCTTACCTTGTAGAAACGAGCGTTGACCCAAATTTTCCAGCCTGTTTGTTTCTCTCTATCACTCCCTGTACATCTGAAGTGGCAAAATCAAGGAGATTTATCCTTCACATGAACTGGATTTAAATTCACCTTACAGGGGTTAGAAATCAGGATACACACAAAAAATAAAATAATTTAACATTTAATTCAAACCAATACGGAACTATTTATATTTGTTTAGTGATATCATATGAAAAGTGGGTGTTAGATGGGTTATGACATGCAGCATATGGTCAGATTTAAGATTAAGGTGTACTAATTTAAATGTTCATCCTATTTTTGTTGACAGAAATAGAGATGCACTGATCTAGTTTTTTGTGAATCGACCAATACTGATACCTGGGCTGAGTGTATTGGCTAATATCGATACAGATCTGATTCAGCTGATGAATGAATGAACTGTATATCTGGCCATGTGTGTGTCAGCTTTAGCCTTGTCATAAACATTCTCTAAAAAAAAAAGGTAACAAATGAAAACAAATACATGTATTTTATATTATCTATTAAGAAATCAGCAGCAAGTATCTTATCATAACTAATCTACTGCTACACTCTTTTAGTCAGCTATGAACGGATTTTTGTATTTTCGTTTGTCATTATTATTTATCTATGTATTGTGTATGTGTTTTTTAAGCTTTGACTTTTTTTTAATTTTATTTATTTATTTATTTAAAAATTTTTTTTTGGGGTGTGTTTTGTGTAAGGGTTATGTATGTTAAGAAAGACAGCGTTGTATAAAACATGAATGCTGTAAAGAATATTCTGTGAAAATTGATAAATAAAGTTATAAAAAAAAAAAAAAGAAATCAGCAGCAAAAAGAAAGACATAACAATTCTATGTAATGTGCACTGGATTGGAGTCTGATATCCAATATCAAATCACTGATGCAGCGAATACGATGCAGGTATCTGATCAACATCTCAAGACAGAAGACAGAAAATGGGACAATAGTATTTGTTAAAAGTTAAAACCTTTTTCACTGCAGATACTGTTTTTGAATGGATTAATTAATTATATGCAACACACCCACTGGAAATAATTTGATTAACACATTTGATACATTTTATTAATGTATCAACACACATTTTTTCAAGATAATGGAGACAAAATCACCAACTGCTTTCACATAACATACATATTAGCATCTCCATATAAAATCTGTTAAATCCGCTCTGTAAGTGTTGCTTGAGTTACGGTTAATCTAATATGATCTTTATTGTAAATGGGAATGCCATGTTGCTACAAAGGGTATTAAAAAAACATAGAACTGAAGAAATATGGTAAATGAATAGCATGGTAAACACCCACATGGAGGAAAGCATGAGTGAGCAGAAATGATCTACGGGGATAAAGTGCTACATCCCAGCTGCTTCTTGCTGGATCAATGGAAAGGCTTTTAACCAAAGATAGAAAAAAAAAACACCCTGACACAAAAAGGCAGGGTGATTGATGTCAAGTTGTCTATTAATACAGCGACTAGTGGAGTTGTAAAGCAATTCAATTAGGATTTCCTTGTCTTTAAAGCCTGCAAAGGACTAAGACAAATCCAATTGACAAAAGCACAAGAGAAGAACAAGAGAGATAGATGAAGAGAGCCGGAATGTGATAAACTGATAGATGAATTGATAGCTGTAAATCTGTTACAGATCTCAGAGGTCTCTCACATAGAACGACACTAATAAAATACAGGTTATGCATACGCAGAAGCCATTGAAGATGTATAAATACATGTTATTTTGAACAAAATCCAAAAACCTGTGCAGAACTGAGTTAAACATGAGCATGAGCAGAGGGCAGAGGAGGTGCCAGTAATCTCGTCATGCTAACACCACTATGGAAAGGTTTATTCACGCACCTGTCTTTAGCAGCAAATGGCAGGAAAAAAAGAAATAAAATAAAGATTTAAGTGGGGGAAAAAATGTTTTCTTCCATCACTTTCGGCCAAGGAGCAGCAACCAATGACATGCATCAATCATGCTTAATGGAACATTTCAATTGATTTCCAACATGAGTATTCAAGGTCAGAGCTGCAGCAGCTTCTGCTCTCTTTCCTGTGTGGTTGTGGAGGATTTTCAACAATAAATTAGGTCAATAACGCCTAAGAAAAAGGTGAAAACTATTCTACCAGGGAAGGTAATGATTCACAAATGTCATCACTTCACAAGTTTGTGCTTCTACAGTATATCCTCTAATCTATTTCTCTATATAAAGCTGAACCCTATCACAACCCGTCATCACTTTCCATTCTAACACCAGGCACAAAGTAAGGCCATGTGAGATAAACAGAGACCTTTAGGACACGGTTTAGACCCCAACAAGAGGAAATACCACAAAGTGTGTGAATGGACCAATTTGGCAGAGTCCAGGACAAATACTGAGCCTTTCTCAGCAACACCCCCGCCACTTCTCCTGTGTATTTGCTCCATTTTTGCTCTGAATTCACTTACAATTCTCTCCGAGTGTTTGTTCTAGGAAACAAAGCACCCGGTCAATGGTGTATTGTTTGTGTGTGCAAGTGTGTGTTTTACAGTCTCCGAAATGTTATTGTTTGGTCTTATTGTGATCAGTAAAGGAGCATTGTAGCCGGCTGGGATAGAGATATTGTAAGCAATGCTAAATTTGGAAGAGTCGCATCGGTCAATGGGGAAGAAATGTGTATTTAGATTTCCTTCGTTTGTTAACAGACTGTAACAAGCTTCTTTTTCTTGCTTGTGCAGCTGCCTATTGATTAATGCAAGATCTAAAAGGATTACAGCCAAAGAAATGAAGTGAAACGAATGAAGATAAAAAGGAGGTTTTTAAACACAAACTGTGATGAAAAGAGGACCATGTCTTTTCATCAGGCTAAAAGAGTTGATCGATATCCCACTTAAAAATACTTTTTTTTTTGCCAAATATATCACTTATATGTTTTTTCTCCCAAATATAATTATAGCCCTATACTTGAAGAACAGAATTTTATACAAACCTCAATTGTTCTCAGATGAAAAGAACACATCGAGCTCTCGCCCTAACCTCAGCATTAGATAAATTCTGAAACTAAAACTGACAGGACGGCAATTTATGTGCTCTTAACTGACTCTGTGGCAGCTAGGAGTGGTAGCTGCCCCCTCCTCTGATTTAGTCACAAAATAAAAGTGGTGGCCCAGCTTTTCTTCTGCACTCCAACGCAACTCTTGAGCAAATAGCTGAAATGTTTGTGCCTTTCAGCAAACAGCTGAAAGACACAAAATTAAAGACAAACATTAAGGTTTTTTTTTTTAAAAAAAGACATAATTAATAGCAGTTTATTGTAGGTTTCTAATTATAATACCGGTACTTTATTTTCTAACATTAGCTGGATAAGGTAATTATGTCAAGTGTTGTAGTATCAGTTTCACATGATGGTACATTGTTGCAGTCATTTTTGACAATAGTTTTTATTATGCATATGAGGGATGATCTTAACTGACCACCGGAATCATAAATCACAAGACAAGTCACAAATATTTTGGTTGTGATGTCAGATTCACACCTATAGATTTGTTTAAGTTCTTGACAAATCTCTGCGTATCTTCATGTTTGAGGCTTGAACAACAGACTCTGCAGTATTTTATCAATGTATTTAATCATTGTGTCCCTTGACAACGAACGTTTAGTTTGTCTGACTGCAGTAAAACAGCTGGGTGCAACTGAAAAACATCATTTATAAAGTTTACTTTAAAGAGCCAAGTTCATGCAACGAAACAACAGACTCTACTGTAAAAAGGAAGCAACTGCCAGGAACAGCAAATCAAGGGCTGGTGCTAATCAGAAAAATAGATTACTTCAAAAACAAAGAGCATTATACGGACATACTGATGCAAAAACTAAAAACAAAAGAGGCAAATGTTGGTCTTCGAAATGGACAATAATCTTAAACATAAAAACCAAATCAGTTAATAATTAGCCTAAAAAGAACCAAGTCAGTGTTTTAAAGCGGTCATAACAAACCCTGAATTCATTAAAATAAACACTTTAGGGTGCATGTAAGTGAGGCGGAATTCAAACCTGACTTAGTTACACTACCTCTGTAAGGAAGAATGGGTCAAACTTACAATAAACTATAAATTATAGCTGATATAAAGTAAAGACAATAATGTAATGTAATGTAATGCTTATTATTGGATATAAACCCTAAGAAGAAGGAGTTCCAGTTTCTAAATATTGTAGCCACATTTTAATAAATCTAAGGCTAACGATTTATCTTTACCATAACTAATGCACTCATCTTACTGTGAAGAGAGCAGGCATACATTTACAAAGACTCCTTTCAAAACCTTTTTTACACTTAATGACCAGCAGTACAAACATACTGATCATTTCCTGCTTTTCCATAATGTCTGATAACCAAGCAGAAAAGACAACAAAACATCCAGACTCTGAAACAGAATAGCTCCAACCAAACCTGCAGGACCTTGAATTTGATTGTTTCTTGTTTTGGCTTCAAACCCTCTCAGTGTCAGCTGGAGACCACAGATCAATAAAACCAAGGAGATAACATCAGCTGTAATACGCTTTTAAACTGATAAAAAGGAAATATTTCATAGGGCCTCTATGTTAGCATTGAGATTTCCATGCAGACATAAAGAAAAAAATTTTTTTCCCTTTAGAATGTGTACATTTTAATCATAGAAAAAACATTCCTGCACATGATAGACTATCTAGATTTTTATCTGAAGGACATCGAATCAAACACTAAAATGAAGGACAAAAGAAAAAAAGGTTTTACCGTAGCAAAATATGTATGATCGCACATGAATAAAAGTGAGCTAATGGAGCAAGGCAGAGATGGAGAGAAAAAGAGAGAAGTGAGGTACGATGAAAGGATACTCTGAATGGACTTCTCATTCCCATCTGATAGCAGAACTTCCTTCACGTCAGCAGAAATGGCAACCTGAGAGCCGGGTAGACAGGAAAGAGACGGAGAAATTAAACAACACGGAACAAAAGAAGAAAACCAAAAGCACTGTTAGATGAAGCAAACATCTGAACGCACGCACACAGTAAAGACATAACCATATCTACAAAGCTTCACTCCTGGCAGCGCGGTCCACGCCACCCTTCCACTCTCCATTTCTCCCTGCCATTTTCCTCTCTATCTTCACCCCATTTTTATGTCTGCATTATTTTAATCATTCAATCAAATCAGTCAATACTTTTATCATTGTGGCTAGCGGTGGGGGCCTGCTATCTTGCTATCACTCTGTTCAGTAATTGCATTGTGACAGGGGATGATGGCAAGCGCAGAGCCTTTTCATTTGACGCTGGGTGTTTATCAGGCCGAGCCATCACTCCGTTCGCCGCTGTCACTCTGCACTCGGCTCGCCAGGCCTGCCTGATGCCCTTCATATAACTTTGCAGAGCAGGCTGCAAAAGACGGAGAGAAAGAGATGGAGGAAGTGGAGAGAATGGAGAGCTCCCACGTTTTGATGCGTGTGAAGGAGATGTAGATAGGGAGGGGTGTGTGTTCTGGTATAAACTCAGCTTTTGACATTCTCTTTCTTTATAAATGTCTTTTTTTATATCAGCAAGTGTATGTCAGGCTGCTGGCTTTTGTTAAAGACTGTGTTTGCCTCTTAGGGTGGGTCAGATTTGTTGGCAACCCTGTTAAAAGATGTTTAAAAAATGACAGAAGACATTTCTTTGACATTGCTGTAGTTCTTTGCAGAATGTAGCATTCAATAATGTCACAGTTTTGGGAGTTTTTAATAAAATAAAGCTAAATACATACTAACTTCCAGATTACAGATTGGGGTTTTAAGGTAGGATTAAAACATAATTCTGTAATACTTGTAAATCACATGAACAACGATTTCTTGATGAATTCTGACACATCCCACTAAATGATGTGGCCGCCCAAAAATGCTACATTTGTTTTTGCATTTCTTTTTACTCCTATGTCTTAGATATGCTGTTGTTCGTCCTGCTAGGTTTTTTTGGCTGACTTAACAAATGCCCAGTTTGGATAGCCAGATGCCTTAAGTGATTTCCTAACAAGTTTGTATTACTTTCGTTTCTCCTCTGTAATTGAGGAGATATCTTTAACCCGGTAACTCAGACTTCTGATATCAGAAAGTTTATGTTCCAGTAGTGGTCTGTTCCATCTACCTCTGTATTAAGACTCCCATTGTCCTTAATGTGCAAAGCACAGTCCAGAAAAGGCAACTAAGTGTTTTTGGCAACTTCTCTAGTGAACTTGTTATATCTGTCCACTGAGGTGATGCGATTAGGAATGTCTCAGCTTCCTGGCTTTGAATTTTGACCCAGGTGTCATCCACATATCTGAGCCAGTGACTTGGTTGTGTTCTCTCGCATATACTGAAAGCTCTGCTCTCCAGGTCCTCCATATAGATGTTGGCAACAATGGGTGAGACTGGAAGCCCATGGCACAACCATGTTTCTCGCAGTAAAAGCTATCACTGTATTTGAAATATCCTGCTAATAGGCAGAGGTCACCAGGTCACAAATGTGATTAATTGTTAAAGTGGTCCTGTCTTTCATGGTTCCATCATGTTTCAGTTGTGTCCTGACACTGTTCATCTCCTCAGATGTGGGAATGCAGGTGAAGAGAGAGTTACATCAAAATAAACAACAAGTTCACATGGAGCCATTCTCAAAAGCCAGACTTTGGAAATAAAGTCTATGGAGTCTGGATGCCAACATTTTTTGCAAGATGTTTTGCAATGTTGTGTGTCACCAAGTTAATGCTGATGATAATGTGTCTGAGTGGAATCCCTTCCTTGTGTATTTTTGGAAGACCATATATGTATGGTATGACCTTCCATGAGTACAGTTTATAGTAGAGAGAGCATCTGATGGATTTATCTCTTTCCAGATTTTGGAGATAGTCTGTTATTTCATTTTTATAGATGTTGCTTGGGTCCCTTTCAGGGCCTCATTGGTTCACCTCAACCACCTCGGGGACACACGCCACGATACTGTCTGTTGATTTCAGTTTGAACATGATTTACACAGACCTCCTCAGTCAGAGCCTTACCTAGCTCACAGTGCCAGCTTCCAGCTGTCACTGGATCACCAGCTTCCTGAATGATTAGCAGCAGTAATTGAGGTTAGGAAACATTTCCAGCCAACGAGACTGGAGCCCCCCAGGGGTGTGTTCTCTCACCACTTCTATTCTGTCTCTGCATGAATAAATTCAACTCAGCAGACCATTTGCTGAACCCCCTGATGGTAAATGACATCACTGTCATTGATGTGATCCAGGAGATGGTCCTCACAGATACAGAAGTTAAATTATACTATCGAGTGTCTATGAGGTATTCCCTAACAAAAGCTCATGGTGCGCAAGATTTTTCCAAAAATCTGTCAAACTGATATGGTGTAAATTGAATCACTCCTTGAAATCAAGTTCTTAATAGTTGATGATACCTAGAAAATAGCTAATTACAGTATCAGACACAGGTTTCTATTTCAGTCCTAGGTCTTTTTTCCTATGTCTATTTCAGAGTTCAACTTAATAAAAAAAAAAAACTTTGTCGTTTCTTTGTATTGATTTTTTTTCTTTCAAATATCAGAAATGCTTCAATTCAGCCGTTGTGCTAGAAAGGAACAACAAATGTTAAAAAAAAAAACGAAAAAAAAAGTTACAAGATTAACAACAAATGTTTTGTTTCACTGTATGTCAAAGACCTGTTAAGACACAGAGGTTTACGGTTATTATGAAAGACAGATTTGTGGGGGGAAAAAAAAAAAGGTCTTATGATCATATATTTTACTGCTACAATAACCCTGAGGTTTAAGCTGTAACTTCACCATGTTTGGGATGATCCTTTAAGAAAAAAAACAAGAAAATGTGGGGAAAGTGGTGTCAGTGACGGATGAAGGCGGAAAGAGGGGAGGAAGAGGTGTGAAGGAAGGATTCCATCTCAGGCCACCAATGTCAAAACATGGTGTATTGACCGCCAAGAGATAAAACTCTGCGTTTTACACGCACACACTCATTGGCATCCAACAGATCGATGGGACACCAAAGCCTGCTATGTGGAGGGCCCCTTAAGACTCTGACTAATAAGCCCTATAGCTGACAGACTGCAGGGTATCTCCACATGTGTGTGGAAGAGTGCATTAGGCATCCAAATGCTTGGCAGCTTTTAAGTTAGCAGGTTTGTTTTTTGAGGTGTTATTGCTTTGGGAAAAATATGTTTTTATGTGTTTGATTTAAATTGTATTTTATGAAAAATAACTCAGACGAAATCTTCCCCATGTGAATCACCCTAGAAGAGCCTATAATGGTTTCCCAACATAATCAAACATGTAGATACTTAAATTTATTTTCAACAAAAAAAAAAAAAAAAAAAAAAAATCTTGTAAAAGGAAAGAAAATGCAATTTCTCCAGAAGAAAACATTTAGAACACCCTGATAATATTAGGTGCATCACATGTGCACATAATCAGATCATTACTCAGCAGTTTGAAGAATTACTCTTGTCAAAGTTCATAGTTTGGGGCTCCTGACTGCTGAAGTGAAAATAAACACTATTATCAAATATCCGTTGAAGCATTTCAAAAACAAGATATCAACAGTTTACCAGTCTGCTAAAAGATTGTAATCAGCCATTGGCAAAAATAAAATGCAGCATCCAAATAACCTCCTGTAGTGAAAAATGGAGGTGGAAGTGTCCAAGTTTAGGATTGCTGTACAACAGCAGGACCTCATCAGCACCATCACTCTACTGCAATTCAATTTACTTGTGGGAAATTTTTGAAAATCTATAAAAACCTCAAGCTTAACCTGAACTTGAGAAACAGGGAAAACCCAGAATGTAATCTTAGTGTGAAGCTATAGGGTGACTTTAAACTGACAACAGTTCAGAGGCAAAGTCAGGAATGGGAGAAACCTTCCTAAGACTAAATACAGAAATTGATAAATGGTAACATCAGGTGTATTTTAGCTGTTGTAGGTAAAAACAGCTATTAGGTGTTATATTCTTTCCTAACTTTTCCAATTAGAAAACAAATTTTCTGTTTATATATTTTCTTAAATACACAAAATGAGGTTTAATTGTAATAATGAACCAATTTTTTAGACAATAAAAGGACTTGAAATCCAATCTGAATTTTTCTCAATAGAGAAAATACAAAATGGCCTGACGTAGCTTTTTTAAATCACTGATAGATGATTTTATAGCGTTGAAACTAAATATTCCCATTATAGCTGAGTAGTACCAAAGGACCAGCTGTACTGCATTTATTGTGAATTTAAATTTACACACTTTAGGTCTTTTAGTTTATTGTGTTTTTTTTTAACACTTACTCTTTCAAAATTACTCATCTTTTCACTTTTTAACCAGTTCACATCAATTAATAATTTCTGGATCCAAGAAGAAGACAACCAGCCAGAAGCTACGATTGTTCATAATCTGCTCCTCCAATCTGGTAGCTAATCCTCAACACAAAAGAGTTGCTTTATTAAACTAATGTGAGTGAAGCGTTTGCATACAAATTTTGCTGAAGGTTGGTAAATCTAAAAACGCATTCCAGCACCGAGGAAGTAAATGACTGAGTCTGAACAGATAAGGATACTGGGGGCTCATAGTGTGTGGATATTGATTGTTCCTGATTAGTTTTATTAGAAAAGCCCTCACAGAAGGCCTCTTTTGTGCGCATGTCTCACTTACCATTAGGCCACCAAGACAAGTCATCCCTCCTCCTAACTCGCACACTGCACCCCTGGGAGACAAAGAGAAGGAAAAGGAGAGTCGAGATTCACTTTACTGTGGCAAAAAAAACGTAGTTTAGTACTAACATACACACGTGCTGTACAGTAGATCTGCACAGATACGGAGACTCCCCAGCATACTACCCTACCAGCACACGCAGATACACAAACAGTAAACACAGCAGGGTGAGAAATATCAATTCAACCATCAACTTGAAAGCTGAATGCTGAACACTGAGAAGCACAAGCTCAATCAGCAGGATATCTGAGTAGCAACACACACACAGAGTCCTGCAGCTTGTATGCTCATTCAACCCCTCTCCTCATCCTCTTCCTCCTTTCATCTCTCCAGCCCCTCCATCTCTGCCCCTGTCCTCTTTCATCCCCCTCTTCGCCTCCCTCCCCTTCCCGCTGACCTTCACTACGCTGCTCTGATCAATAACCCTCTCCTCCTCGCCTCCCGCCTCTTGAATGTTAAAACAGGAAATCAAAGGGTGACGTTCCACCTTGAGTGGAAATCAAAAGTGCCTGGACGCTTTTCAGCCGTGTGCCACGGGGCAGCCTGAAGCTTAGCAGACAACAAGACTGGGAAAAGAGCAAGAGGTTCTGGTGTCAAAGTGGTAAATGTTTACAAGAAATAAACGCCTATTCTAAAAATATATGGAAAATCTTATAGAGCGAAAATCCCTTGGGTAGGCATGAGCGTGTATGAGGATTCTCCCAGTATGATAAGATATGATGGTTCCTGGCATTTAAGGAAAAATATAAACATAATTTCATTTGTTTTATTCAAAACAGGAAAGACACAATTTGTACTTCTGCTAAAGGCGACAGGAATAAGATGGCTTTATTTGTTCCCATAGGGAAATTCATAAGCAGCCTTGTCAGCAGGCATTTACATAAAAAGACAGCAGCGTGGACACAAAAACACATACAGACATGCAAAGACAAAACCAGCTGTAGTTTTCCAGTAATTTTATCATGATTCTGTTCAGTTTAACATTTTAACAGTTTGTAGTGTGAAGGGAAATTTTTTCCTTTTTCTGGAGAATAGAGGAAGGCAGGACTTTCACCCCGTAGGGAGCAGCTCAGACTAAGAGCTTTATTTTCTGCTACAATCTTTCCTGCCTTCCTCATCACTCTGGCCATGTATATTATTTTCAGACTCAGCAAAATGGTCCACAACAGACAGCTGGCTGTGGACACCATACTTCTTAGAGGCCAAAATGTAAAAATACTTTCAATAACAGCTGAGTAAGACAGAAGCATCAGTATTTGCTTGGCCTCTTTTGAATAAAGGGAAATTCAAACTGATTCTAGATTAAAAGAAAAAAGATAAGACATATTTTAAACACCAACTATATCAAAACATTAGTAAAAGGATTTAAACATAATAGAAAACATAAAGAAGCTAATCTGAACAAGAAGTGTTAACCTTTTGTAGTAACCAATGTTTTTAGTCCTGATTTTAAGTAGCAAGATATTGTTGGTTCTAAGGCTGAAGTTTACAGAAACCTCATGTTTAGTTCTTAGCTTAAAAACATGATGCACAAAAGTCAGAAAACTAAGGGTTGACATCATTCATAGCGAACTTGGAAAACCTAAATATGTTTGGATTGCAGACAAGAAACAAGACAGAGTTCAAAACACCATTAAGAATATAATTAAGCATATTCTTTTACAAACAGAGAGAGAGTGGATTAATGACTGATGGAACATACAGCCATTTTTTTTTCCTGGTGTAGGTTAGTTGTCTTTTATCAACTGATAAACTGCTGATATTTTAAGCTGGGATCAGAATAATTTATTAATAAAGTCTATTTGGTTGTTGAAAGTTAGGTCCAGGTCTACGATTGACATTTACCGATGGAAAACAATTTAAGGCAGCAAAAATGCTGACTTATGTCTTTTCTCCAATAGGATGGAGGAAATAACCCATCCATTAGTAGGTTATTTGCAAAGTGTGACTACAGTTGACCAAGCAAAAGAAACACAAAGCTGTATGTAATAAGCAAAGACATTGTAAGAGACATTATAGAACCTACTAGAACCACATAGGTTTACCTACTGTAGAAGAAAATCCTGCCTACTCTTCCAGTCTTTCAAGATGTTATTATCAAGAACAAAGTAACACGAATACTTCTCTTTTTTAGGCTTTTTTTCTGCAGGTTTACTCATCATTTGGCAACATTTCCAAAAATGCAAGTGAGACACTTTGCCAATGGAACAAGATAACCTACATTTAAAATAAGATTTCAAGTTCGTATTATCGTATCGTATTATCGTATTATCTACTTTAAGAGTAAAAATTCTCATTCCATTGGCAAATCATCATATTTACCTACTTAAATTAAAGGTAAGAAATTATCACTTATTTTTTATAGATTGTTTTTGCTCTGAGATAAATAGCCTGCAAATCACAATAAAATGGTTTACTTTTCTTAGTCAGCAGATGCTGTTTGTATTTATTGCTGTATATATCTCCAAAAAGCGAAATATTTGTTTTTTTAATCAAGAGAAAAGTGTAAAGGCCTTCTTATAGCAAACTCACTGGCCTTCCCCACTGGCAACAGGTGGGGGAGGGTAAACGCTTTGTTTCTCTTTTCTTTATACATCTCCTGCCATTTTCACCTACATATTATTTAAATGTCTTTAAAGTGTTAAAACTAAAAAAAATTATCAGTTTTAAAAATGTAGGTATACCCCGATATATGTGCACACCTACTCCTAATAATATTTTGGCCACTACGGCTCAAAACGTATCAAAGATATTTGGAGTAGTCCAAACTCACTTGAAAATGTGGCGTTTCTGCAGACAGTAATGTGCCATCACCTCCTCAGACGGCCACACACCTGGATCAAAGAGAGTGAAAAAGGAAATCAGTAAATGAAAAAGCCCAACTGATGTCATATCCCTGCTCATATCCCTGTGTCTCAACATCACAGCACATCAGCATTGATATAACACCCAAATAAACACAATGGTGGTTCTATCGAACATAAAGGGAGGCATTGTGTTCTCCAGTCTGTGTTCATTTGCTTCTGTCATGGCTTCCACCTTGCCTGTGATCCAAGGCTTCTCTGTCTGCACGTCTGTCTCTCCGTCTGTCTATCCTAAATCCCTGCAACACACTCCCTCGTTGGCCATTGTGTATGCATATGTGTAGGAGCGAGCGTGTGTGAGACAGGGCGTCCGGTGTGTGATAATCACAGTGTGCAGGCCTGCCTGGCTTATCACCTACAGTCAGCCCTTCTCCTTCTCCCGTGCATGTAATGCACACGCGCACACAAAACTCACTCCCAACTATTTCCTCTCTCTTTTTATTGCACACACATGCACATCCACAGACAAATATGCACATCTTGGCAGCGAAAGAAGTAAACATTCATTTGAATAAAACTTCAGCTTCTGGCTTTGAACAAGAAGGTTCGCCTTGGCGCCGCCTGTGTGTGAAGTGTGTGCGTCCACAAGTCTGTGTGGTGTTTACACGCCGAAGTTTTACAACAGGAGAAAGACTGAGAGGATATAGAATAAGTTGAAGGAACCACTGAGAGGAGCTGGTGGAGGAGAAAGAAAAGGTGGTAGTCGATATAATAAGCGGCTTACAGGCGGTCTCTCATCACCTCATGGGGCAGACATCCCTGCTCTCTCCTTCTCGCCATTCACTCTTTCGCTCACTCTCCCGCTACCCTCGCTCCGGTCCGCCAAGATTAGCTCAAGCAAGCAGGATTTAATAATGCCTATTGATAAAATGTCCAAATATTCCTTTTCCCCATTAGAAAAAAAAAAAAAAAAAACTCTTTCCAGTGTGGTGTGACAGCAGACAAACACACATGCTGTACTGAACAGACATGAACCATGCTGACATTTTAAATTTCTTCCTCTTAAATCTTCTTATTTGACACACAGCAAGGAAAACTTCACAATGTCAAGTGTTGCTTGACTCATTTCAGCAGCTGTATAATTCTTGAAGGGCAAAGCTCATCTCACCTTGTCTTGTTTGCTGTAATTACACTATAGATTCTTGCTAATATGCAGCAATGTCTCCAACATGGTGTCTAATTGTACTTTCCTGGTGTAAAACCTTCCATTTGCAAACCAGTGTTCTGCAACTGTCAGAATTTTCCCCGGTCCAACACAAACGGATCTAAAATCTAAACTTTACCTTAAATGTGTACTTATTGTGCTCAGTTCTCCGAGGGAAGGGGAAAATCTAAAAAGTGAAAGACACTGACCCTCTACAAATGGAGTTTGGCACCTATGCCACACATTATCAATGTTTGCACATGGTCTTCTCTAATATTCTCAAAGCAAAAAAGGTTTCTCCCCTGTGGAATGTCTTTGGGCTTTTGGCACTTTAAAAACTATACATAAACATTACAAATCAGGAATTAAGGAGTCCAGCACAGTCAGGCTGATATATTTAAATAGGCCCTATGATGAATGCTTGGAATCACCTTAAGCTATAAATAGCTCAGTGATGGTATTAATGTTAACATCATATGTTATAAAACTGAGCTTTTTAACAGCGGTGGGTGAATATAACACATCTTAGGTGGGGTTTTCTGGAGGTTTCCACTGCACTGTTTTTAAAACATTGTTTAAGTTATTTTAACGCAGACTGCATAAGTGACACAGCATAAATTAGTCTGAAATTCCTGCAGTTTCAGGTTTTTACAAATCATCTAATTTAACCCATTCTGTAAGAAAAATATTTTGAAAACAAAGGACGGTGTAGATGTCTTTAAGGATAACCTAGAAAGATTTCTGGCTCATGCAATGATTTAAAAAAAACCTTTTTTTTTCTTTTAGCATTAAAGGACAAAATGAAAAGAAAAAAACATGAATGTCTCTAATCTATCGAAATTTATGCGACCTTATTTAATCAACATAAGGTCACATAAATTGAAGCATATTGTGTGTGTGTTTTTTTTTAAAGCTATCTGATGCTCACAAATTTAAAGACGTCATAAATATTCAGTTATATTATAACCTTTGCTTGTATGTTTGTTGTAACTCCTCAGCATCATCTGATTTGAACTTTGACCCAATTTTCCTGATTATGTACTCACATGCAACATAATTGCAAGTGAGCAGACATCTCTGGCCTGGGAAATGGCAGTTCAGCTCCTCCCCTGCATGTCGGCACATGACACTTGACATGCAGGGTCCCCCTAAACATGGAGGGCCGATGAACAGCAGAGGGTGGTAATGTAACATTAAACCGTCTCTAAGAGGCATTTAATAGGTTTTAATGCTGCTGAAGATTCAGGCAACCAAACATTATTGATGATTTAATAAAGGCCTTAGAATTTGAACATACCCTTATATTAACTTAATAAAAATGGTGTTTCTGGGAGGTCGTCAGGGTTAGGCCCAGAAAATGAATGGCAGTCAATGTAAAATCCTTGGAAATATAGAAAGAAATGGTATATATTAGAGTGGATGGAATTGAGAGAATGTGCACACACACAAAGGTGAGAAAAAGACAACTCAAAGTAATAAAGCTTTGTAAAGCATATGTGAACCCAGTGGTTAATCCGCATCTCCAATAACATTAATAGCACAGAGGGCGATAGAACTGTGTGTGCAGTGTGCATAAGGGCGGGATAAGTATGTGGTTTATGCAGATGGGAGTGTTTGTGTGTGTGTGTGTGTGTGTGTGTGTGAGACAGAGAGCTGCCTAGGTCAAGAAGCACTGTAGGAAATGAAGGGATCAGGAGCAGAGACCAGATTACTCCTTCTGAGGATAATGAAATTATTTCTCACCTTCAATTACCTGATGATGGAGGGGAAATAGTTCTGTGTATGTGTGTGAGTATCTAGTCAATATAGTTATTAGTTGGGAACTACCCGTGTTTCATCTGTTATTGCAAAAATGAATGGGTTTTGTAGTGAAAACTCCACATTAAGCAAGATAAACACAGGAAGGAAATATGCTGACTGAAGAAAGTCAGAGTAGTGTCCAATACTGGCATACGATGTAAGTCCTTTTAGAAGTAGAACCAAATTACAGTAGATCCATAGTAAATTTCTTCAGCTACAACACAATTTTTTTAGAGGCATTAAAGATGCAACTAAGGTAGAACCGTTTTTCTATAATACAAGGCAACTTAAAGTAGACAGACTCCCAAGATATTTTCTTGTCCTGCTTATTTAATCAAGCATGCAGCAATGCATTGTGCCACCAGAAGTGATAAACGTAAAGGATGAGTGCAGAACTTTAATGGATTTGCCATTTCTAATTTGTCACAATACATAGTTTTAATTTTTTTCAGGAAAGAAAGTACACCTCAAAACTTCCCCTATGCAATCAGTTTATCAAGAAAAAGCCTACTTTAAAATGTACTTTTTTGGGGTTCTTTGAGGAGCAGAGCTCTGCTGATAGGCAACATTTACTGCATGCAGCTGAAGAGTTGTTTCCCCACTAACACAGGTTGATCACAGAGGCTGAAAAGGATGTGCTGGGATTTAAGAATCCTCTCAAGGTACGGAGAGACTCGACCATCTGGTCGGCTAACAGCATCAGAGGCTGGCTTCGTATTGCATCAAGAACTGAAATTTCCTGTTCTACTTACATTGCAGTGTCCATATAATCTGTAAAACTTCCTGCATAATTATAATAAAGCTATTTATATGCATTAAACAAGCAGAACACTATGACGATAGCCGTACTGCTTCACTTGTGAAAGTAAAATCTGTGGGGCTATTTTTGGCATCAAGACAATTACTCTTATTGTCACATCACAAGACAGGACACTGTTAAAAAAAAAAAAAAGCAAAGAACTGAAATTTCAGAAAACATTTGAGGTCTTTGGCAATTAAGCAATATCCTGATAAATCAAGCAGGTATCCAGGTATTACACAGTGACATTCCTGTCCTAAAATGTTGTAAAAGTTCATTTGTATAGAACGTGTAATCCATCAAATACTCACAACTGTGCAACGTCATTGCACGGAAGAGTGGACAAATCATCTTTGTTCACCACATAACCTCATCCCTAAAAAATTCCAAAAATGTTTTATCTGCAAGCCAGATTAAAGACCAGGGATGTCAAACTGGCTCCACAAAGAGCCGTGCTGCAGCAGGTTTTCTTTCCAACCAAGTAATAGCACGCCAGACTCCATTCAACTCATCAAGTCATCATGTTAACTGGACTTACTTGATGAGATGACTGGAGTCTGGTGTGCTATTGCTTGGTAGGAAAGAAAACCTGAAGCCATCCTTCCTGGAACCAGTTTGACATCCCTCTTCTAAACCAATGGCTACATTTATAAAGCTTGCATAAACACAAAACAGAGTTGGAAACTTGTTTATTTTCATGCAAAGGTTGGGATCTATAAAAAATAAACTTGTAATTAAAATGTGTGTTCCCTCACACCAACTCTTTCCAATGCGGGAAAATTGGCAACACAGATGGTGACAGGGGGAGAAACTGAAGCTAAGCTGCATAACCATTTCTCACTGACATTTAAATTCACTTACATTAAACTTTAAATCATAGAATATTTTTATAGGATCTGAAATAGCAGTGTGATGTATCTTGTCCTGTCACACACAAAAAACAATTGTATAAATGAAATATTAGGAAACCTCTAAATATGATAAGATTTTTTCACATGTTAAATTGTATTTATTGAGTGTACTGCTTTCTCTGGCTTTCATTTTGTTTTTAATTAATTACAGCTCTTAACTACTCTGTGGTTAATGTCGACTCTGACCGGGACAAATTTCCCAACGAGTGTTAAACATAATGAAAAACATTTCTGCCTAAAGCCTTTTTTGAGGAAAAAATATTTTTGTAAATGTATTCAGAAATGGGAGACATCACAACCAGATACACGCAATATT